TTGTTTCAGCACTTTTAAAATTCATATAGGGGTGCGAAATTACATCTTTACCTCAAGTTAAAAAATACGTCTTTGGCAACAATTACATCTACGAAACAACCAAAAGACGAAATTTCAAACTAAACGAAATTTCAAAATCTTTCTGGTTAAGAAGCAATGCGTGTTCTAGAAATCTTAATTTCTCCAAAGCTAAATCCAAGAGAGCAATTTTTGAAAAATGACAATAATATTGAGAATGATGAAATCTGTTGTTGAGAAAAATCAGTTTGAAGCCACTTATAAATTTATTTTGCCACTTTTGGTGCAAGTTTATCATAGGGTGAGCTGATTCGTAATTTTAATAGGTTTGTTTGATTATAATAAAACACACAAATCTGCTTCAAACGTGAAGGGCTGACATCGTGGAGGACTTTCTAAGGCAAACTTGCTCGCATCCATTTTACACACGGGAAGAATTAGAAAATCGCTTTTTCTCTGGTCGGAAAACTATAGTGTTCAGTGACTTAACTACTTTTTCTGTTCAGAGCCTAATCCTTACTGTCACTTTGATTTAGTTATCTCGATACTGGTATTATCATTTTACTGTATTCTGCCTCTGTTTTACTCCCATTGTTAAATTAAACTGCATGTACATGTCGCAAGGTTAAACGTGAATAACCAAGATGGCGGCATGACTATGCGTAAACCACTCTTTTATTCAGAATTCAGTATAGTTGAGCAGAAGGCACTCCTTATGCTTGCAAAACCAGCCAGCATTTACGGCGTTAATCAACAGATAGAATTTCAAATTAAAGCTAAGTCTCAGGTTAGCCAGTTATTTCTGTTAGGCAAAGGCTAACAGAAATAATTAACGCGCAGGTTCGCTTAAATCTACACGGGCGGGGCAAGCACAATTGGCAAAAGTAAAGCAACGCGGAAGACAGACTACCAACGTAGAATATGAACTAGTAACGTGGCCTTCAGCAGGCGGAGCACGCACGATTTAATAATCTAAAACCTCCCTTTTAATACTATCTCTTTATACATCATTTAAATATGCGCAAGCTAAAATTTGCATTCTGGCTGGAAAATGGAAAGGGATAAATGACATTAAAGATACGTAACATAAAATAACTGGTTAATTAAAATAAATAAATAGTTCAAAAATTATTGCTCTAGTATCATTGTTAACAAAACTACATTGAAATAATAATATGGATTTAATTGTGGATCATATTGTAGTTGGGGATATTGCAAACAAGAGGAGGAACTCGTTGATTAGCATAATAAAAACACAAAAAAACTGTAAAAAGTACCCAATTTAAAAGTTTTCCTATTTAATAATATTTTGTGTGCAATATTTTTTTAATGTAAAAAAAGCAAAAAACTAAAACCATTAGCTTGTAGACAACACAATGTAAGGCCAAGGGAAGGAATTTGCTTATCAGCACCTTTTAATATTTTCAGTAATTAGCATATTAAGAAATATGTTTTGTATTTTTCTGCTGCATCTTTACAATATATATTCCAGCATTAAATAATTAATTTTAATCAGTTTAAAGAATATTCCACTATCAATTTTTTATCATTAATATTATACATTCATAAAAAGATTTATTCAAATTCCACAACAACAAATAACCGTGCCACTAATACGTGGTAAAATGTTACCGCTAAGAGGAAAAAAAAACTCAGCTCCTTAGTTGAGAGAAAAAATGCAACTCGACATCTGGCTTGAAAAGGATCTTCAGAAGAAAATTTTATTTTCTTTTTCACGTGAATTATGTATCTTGCTTAATTAGAGTAACATATCACACTTGTTATCTCCCGCGATAAGGTACATCAGCAAGGAAGAAATAAAAAAAGAGTTACATTCTAGCTAGTGTTTAAAAAATATCCGCGAAAATAAATTAACAACTTATTTTTAAATCTTAGTTTTTAAAGTATAACATTAATTTCTCCGCTTCCTATTTTTATTAACGTGTAACATATCTCATATATGTAATTTGTATATATAGAACTATATGTCTAGCTTATGATTAATCAATCAATTGTGCATTTATTTCCACCTGTATGTACTACATATAAATTCGCGAATATGCACTTATATGTATAACTGTAAACTCTAACAGTAAATATGGTTTATTTATTCTTCTGTCTTTACACAACGTTAAAAAATGGATTATAAGTTCTGTTTTGTTAATTATTGAGCCAGAAATGTGTAGGGTTTCTCTAAGCTTGAACAACCAATTATTTCAATTTTTTTATCTTTTCTGAACTTCTTATTTTCCCTGACTTTTCCTCGCCAGGATGCAAATTAAATTAAGTGAAGAAAGTATTTAAACAGGCGAAACGAAAAGCTTAGACAGAGCTTGATTTCACTAGTTAGTGCACCCTGCTATTCTGTCCTCCATCTGTTAATCTTAGTTGCGGCTACGCATTCTGGCCGTTCAATAAGTCTATCGCCTGTGTATGTTGTTGAGTCAGCCAGTTAGCTTAATTAATTTGTGTAGTCTAGCATTATCCTTTACCGTTTTTGAATTTATTGTTAAATTTACCTTAGGTTCTCATCGCAAATAGTCGGTCTTATTTGAGCACGAAGACCGTGCATTTTTGTTATAGAGTTTGCGAATCAAAGGGCAGTTCACAGCCTTTCCTTGTGTTGTTACCCTTCATGCCTGTGCGTGAAGTCGTCAGGCTGACTACTAAGAGCAAGTCACTTGCATAATAGCGAAGAGCGTGAAATCTTACAAATGTATTTCCCTCAATTACGACATTTAGGAAATTTTCTAAGAATGAATTTAATATTAAAAGTGGCAAGGCTCTTTAAACATAAAATTTAACTGCCTGTATCCTTAGAACAAAATATTCATTATCTTTTAATGATTGAAAAACGAAAAGGTTTATATTTTTACACTAGCCATTCATATTAGCGGAGATATTCCGGAACAAATTTGAGTCGAACCATTTTTTCTTGTCTATCAAAGATGAAATAAAACGCTATTTTGAGCGAATTTAGGTATAAAAATTTGATTTGGTCAGCACATGACCTTTTTCCAATTCCAAGTTTTAAAAAACCACGAGCTTTAAGTAAAAGCTTTAAGCTTTTAGTAAGTTTATATAAAGCCTGTTGTTATTTTAAACATGGAGCTGGTGAGTTTTTTTAAATAAAATCTAATATATTTTCAAACTTGATATCTCAATGTTAATTACAAACACTACTCATTTTTTATTATTCTTTTCTCCCATGCAATGGGCGATAATAACTATATGTGCTCAAACATCCGATCCCATAGTTTGATTTGAAAATATCACAGCGGTCGTAGAATATAGCCTGTTCATTTAGTATTTTGGATTCACAAATCTCTAACTTAACAACCCAAAACTTTTAAAAGCAGTATATTCATAAAATTCCTGATAGAGTGTATGTAAATGTATGGCAGCACTTAAGTGTTGCCATACAATTTTTTCCAGTCTTTTCTCAGTTCATGACGCCAATATTCAGTTTTCTTAATAAGAAGACATCTTTTTTTATTACTCCTTCTCTTTTTTTATTACACATCATTTTCTTCGTACTTATGTTACTTAAAATGTAACAACAAATCACAAAATCATTAAAAGAAGTAAATTTTTAAAACTGCCAATAAAATGTTTCCATACAATTTTTATACAGCTATACTGTTTATATCTGCTATTTTATTTCTTAAAAAATAACACATAGCAATAAGTAGCATTATTTTATTTGAGAAGTAATTCGATACAAATGTGAAACAAACACAAAATTGAGGATTGAGCTAATACGTTTAATTGCTTCATAATGAGCTTATTGTCGCTGCATTTAGCATAATTCTAAAATCGCATTCAATGCTTATAAATGTAATATATATTAATCTCAATCATATACTTAAAATTTAAATACGAAACTTTAGAAGTTTCGGATTATCTCGTAACATATTTTTTTACGAAAGTCTGTTCAGAGCTTCAACTAAACTATCATTTCCGGTTTATCATTTTAAGCCCATCGACATAAAATCTTTAATACTAAAATTGGAAAACTCAGGATTATATATTAGTATAGAATTTCATTAAAAATTTTATGGGCTTTTAGTAAAATACCGCCTGCTTCCGTTCATCCATTAAAACCTATTATGGCCTTCATGTAAAGTACCATTTCTGGTTGTCTAATTTTATCCAAAATCTAATCAACTCTTTGTAGGAATACAGAAAGCTTAAATATGGAAAATAGAAATTTTTAGACGTTTCATATAAAAGTTGTTGCGAACAAAAAAAATAGTCACACACATATACACAGACAGATAGACATCATTGTAAAAATAGTACAAACGTGTTGTGGGGACCTTAATTCGTGCTTACGCACTAAAAACTCACTATCGAAACTGTGGACTGAAAACATTATCTCTCGTACCTAATGTATATAGGTTGGCGGAGATAATAAAAACTATTGTTTGGGAATATAAGGTGCTGGGTTGGCTAAAAAGGCATTCGTTGTTTAAATTTTGGAGGCTTTCATTAATATATTAAATCGCATATCTTGGACATTTTTCATGCAAAGTCTCCGAATATGTGGCACTAACTTATTTTCGCGTAAAGAATACTTTACGAGTTATTATTTTTGCTCTTTGATGACAGTGCAAAAATTAGCATTTTATACTTATAAAATCCTCCTATCCTGACTGTTGAAACTGTATTCATAACTCTATTGTCCCTCTGCGTTAGTTTAAGAAAGTAGGTAATTATAAGTATTAATGTCGAACCACTAGAAATTAAGAGAAAATAAGAAATAACGAATAATAAACTCATGAGTTATAGTCCCCTTTCTTAAACACCTGGGATATCGTGAGATGTAATCTAGTAGTCTACTAAAGCTAATATTAACTTAATTATTTATCTAATGTAATGTTATGTGTTGAGATGTTAACCAACCTGTCGATTGAATTTCAAATTTAAATTCCAGCTATAGAACAAATTTCCTGTAATAACTGACAATTTATTTCTTGCAGGTTTTGCATTCGCCTCCTTGGATGTTGCATCAGATTTTGAGGAACAAAGAATGCGTTTTTTTCGAGAAAATGAGAGTTTCGATGATTATATGGAAATGAGAGAAGGACTGGATCTTCTGGGCGTTGATTTTCAAGAGTATATAGTAACATGTGCCAGTAAAGATTACTTACCATGGTATGCATCTCATGCCATGTTCTGGATATTTTCTTTATTGCTGATGTCTTGGCCGTTGAGAGTGGTCATTGACAGCAAGACTGCTTACGTCCAGTATCAAGTTACAAAGCTTTTTGGAGCCAGTTCTTTTCTACTGTCCACTGTGCAAGATCATCCAATATCTAGAAATAGCACAATTGATAGCATAGAAATGGAACGCGACATTGCGAATAGGTTGAATTTAGCACCAAGTTACTCTGAAGCAGCTCTTATTGGCACTGGAGCAAATGTTTCTCGTTCAGTGGAATCTGGGCTTCACATGGAAACACAGATTCGTAGCTCATCAAATCTTCGCATTTCCCGTAATCTCTCAGTATGCAGATCCAATGATCGGGAAAACGGGCCAGCTGGTCGTCGAGGCATTCCAAAATCAATTAGTCAACCTTTTAAAACTTTCCAGGATCTTCGAAGACTGAATATTAATCGACGCTACTTGCTTTCGCGGTGGTCTAGAGAATCACCTCCATCTTATGAAGATGCTATGTTATTCAGTGAGCCTCTGTTGTCCTATATGACTATGAGACGTTCTGCAACTGACAGAGACTTGTCCGGATTTCGTCCATTAAGAGCATCTTTCAGATCTTTCAGCAGCTTATTTCACTGGACGAAGCGAAGTCTCGAAACAGCATTATGACATCTTTTTGCCATTTGAATTTCAGTGCAAGATTTGCCATGTTTTTTATAATTCCATTTACTACCGCTGCATCATTTTTGTGCACCTTTTGTCTGTGATTATTTTCCCAGTGAAATGTTTTATACACTTCTGACAATGATATTTATTTGACGCAGAGCTTATAATATTTTTAATTTTCATGTTACCGGAAAAGAATTAAAATTAACTTTCAGAATTACGATTAAACTATCTATAATTAGTTTAATTTATGTTTTAACATGGTAGTTTTCGAATAAGATTAATTTAAAATAAGATCTAATTTCCCGCATGATGTGAACTATTATCTAAAAAACGAATTTATAAACATTTTGAAACCAATAATTTAAATGTGTTTCATTTTTACTAATGCAGAAAAATGTTAGTTTCCTTCAGTTTTTTTAAACCATTGGAACTCAAACCCGATGTTACTTTTCTTTACATTACTCTATTAAATCAAAATTCATCTAGGCACTTTGCTTAAAGTAGTTAATTTCTATATTAATTTAGTAATTAAAAATACAATTATTTAAAGAATTTACTTAAAACTAAATTTTAAAATTAGGGTAAAAGCATCCTTAGTTTTGGGTAAATTTTGAATAAAACTTTATCGATATCAAGGACGATCAGTAACAGGTCCTTTTCTTTAAGAGAAAAATTGCAAAGATGGGAGGAACGACAACTATTTTATATCCAAAACAATAGGCGTAGCAAAGCGAAAACAAGCATTGCGCCATCTGTCGAAGAAAACTAAAATATTAGAATTCTGAAAGCGTTAGGAAACATTTTATTGGAATTTATATCATTTATTTGCTAACTAATTAAATTTTTTTTTATCTTTCTTTGATGTGTTTCTCTTCCAGTTTAATTGGGTGTAGAAGCCCAGAGAAGGATTTTAAAAACAACAAACAAAAAAACATGAATAATACATCTGAGTAACGTTAAATCAGTTCCCTTTGCTGAAAATCCCATGTACTGAAGTCAAATGAAAGTAAAAAATTAAATACATTTCCCATTTTTGTATTCACACTATATGCATTAAATGGTGAGTCATAAAATGCAGAGCTTCGATTTATAAAATGTGAAATCTAATGTGAAGAAGCAAACGAAACTAAAAGCAAGTAACACCGACGTAAATGCTTTTTATAATGCACACTGTTCCTTCCTATTCCGAATATTCACAAATAAATTCATAGAAATAGATAAGCTGCGTTTTAAAGTACAAAAATGCTAATTAATACTGTTGTCAAAAAATAGTAATATTTCTTCACATAATTTTTTTGTGATTGTGTAAACTTTTAGTTAATTATTGAATAAAATCCTTTCAGGTACTGCTGTTGAAAGTGAATAAATATTGCGGTGTATAATTTTTATCTAATCATTTTATAACTCTTCGAATTTCTGCCTGTTCATTAAGTGTGTCTAACCATTTTAAGTATAAAAGAACCCTGTTTACAGTAAATATGAACAGATTTGTAAATCAAATATTAAAATAATAAGATTAGAGTTGAAGAAATTGTTTATTAAGATTCATATTTATTCCTAAAATGTGCACAACATAACGCTGAACCTGGCAGTCTATTTTCAATTCTAAACCAAATATATGGGATCCTCTTAAATATTTCAAAAGAGAAAAACATTAATGCTAACGGTAACCTATGAACTTCTTATGTATCTATGAACCTATGAACCTATGAACTTCTTATGTTCTTCTTATGTATTGCCCTTAAAAATTTGTCGAAATAACAACTCAAACCTCCTAGTTTTCAGTCTGAAGACTACGCGATGTAGAAACTTTAAATGTGAGGAATTTCTCGCTGGCTGAAATAAATAGCCAATAAATTTGCATAGATGGGTGTTTTCTCATTCACTTACTCTTCGTTCTTAGGGCAGCAAGTAAGAAACACAAAATAAAAGAAGGTTCTACGAAAACGATTATAAGGTAAATACAGACATAAAGTTAGGTTATAAGTTTATATTAAAATAGTTATAAGGTATATTATGTTAATTAAAAATAATTATAGTTTAAATCTTTATTATAATATAATAATTCCATAGTCCTCACCAGAATGTATTTATTTTATTATTTAAGCTGAGGGTTTTGAATGATCAGATGAGATCTTCTGGCACACTCTGCTTGCTGTTACTTATTATCGTCAGCTCTGCCTAAGTTTTATTACGGCTTTAGCATCTTGCTAGCCTACGTTTAAAGTATAAGCCGTTAACTATCTGAGCCAGCTTAAATAGTTTATGTGTAGTCTCAGACTACGTTACCTACATTTGAAATTTACTTGTTATGTAAAATTAAATTCTCGCAAGTAGCAGAGGTTCGTCTACTTCACATTGCTGTACCTTTCTGTTCATTCAAAGCTTAAATTAAAAGGTTATTTTGACGTTCTTTAGATTGTGTGATTTGTTTCAGACTAAGCGACAGATAATTCGCTGTCAATCTACTAAAATCTGCAGGACTTTGATGACACGAGCTTCTAGATACTGTAAAGCACTACACTGTTAAAGAAGTAAACAAAACATCATTAAATATTAAATGAAGAACAATACGAAGAATCTCTGTCATCCTAAATTACACTTTAAGAAAAGAGCAGTTCTTTCATCTTTTTTTAATTCAATAAAATATGAAACACAGTTTTGGTACTTGAAATGGCTGTTTGAGAGAGAAGTTAAAAATCTGTGAATAGCAGTAAATACACTTTAAACATCTAAATTAGCGCTGGGCCTAGAGCAAGAGAATGGTATTTTATTAAATTATCATTAACTATATTTTAAGTATAATACTAATTACAAAGTCTGTTAAAATGTTTGGGAATTGCAAATTCTAAGTTATATGATATGATAATTTAGGGTTATTACAATTACCTTCCTTTTGAGTAATTCAGGTAACATTCACTTTGCATAATTTAAGCTTATCTAATCTGAATTATTCACTAACATTATCTACATCTCCGTAAACAGGAATATCGGAAATCACAGTAATTTCTAGACATCAGTGTGGCTTAGTATTCAATTATATTTCCTAGAACCTTAGCGGGTTATGTAAACTCGGGGACTTCACAGAGCGTGAAGACAACGGAATAATACAGAGAGGGAGCAAACATTTAAAGAAAAAGGAATTTTTTTTTAAGTTTCCGAAGAAAGGTATAAGCAGTTTACATTACAGGCTACAAAGATTTGAGCAAGATAAATTTTAGATACTTTTGCCTTTACAATTTCTTTGAATGCACTACACTCCATAAGGTTTTGACTAGTTCATAAAATTACTATGCTGCTCTTTATAATAACTAGGAGATTTTATTCTTCAGGCCTTCGTGGATTATTAGCTTTGTTGTAAAAATATCTATTAGATCTCAGACATGTAAATAATGGGCTTTTTAAAATGGGAAATATTTCTTTCCACTTGTCGTATTTACAACAGCTTTACACACGCTAGAAATGTATTGAAATCCTGGAACACGTCCAAGAGGAAATTAAACTGTCTAACTATATTGTTCCTGCTAGAAGAATGCTACAGATTCTTGCAATATAATCCCATGCACGCAGTGTTCTCGGTAAATTTGCTACTACATCAAAAATAAACAAAGAAGAAGAAAAAGGAAATTCATGTAAGTTAGAAGCCATAAGAAACGATTTTTAGTCTTCTGATTTTACGTCTTCTTTTTTCAGTTCCCTTTTTTGTTTGTTTGCTTTGCTTAAAACTGAGCTACCTCGTATACATTATGATTATAGTTTTTATAATTACATTTTTTTTCAATTACTAGTATTCTATTCATCAACTTTTGTTAGATTTTGTGATATCAAAGGTGATACTGAACAATTATGTTTATTTACTAAAAGTTAATTTTTAGTTTTCGTGGTTTCTTCTTATTTTCCGTTAGCAATTTCTCCTACTCTAGAAAGTTATGAAAATTTATGTCATGATTAAATTTCTGTTGTGATTAGTGAAGAATTCTTTTTCAGGCATAGATTTGCTAATCTAAAGTGGATTTTCTTTGCAGTGCCGTCTGTCATAGGTAACGAATTTATAGAGATAATTAAGTAAGTGAGATTTTGAATATAGGTTGCTGTACTTAGAGCAATCCCATGTGCCTAATTGACCAGGATATCAAAAATTAATTATTGGCTGCTTTTTCATATTCCACAAAATAAAAATTACTGTCTAGTATTTTAATTCATTTAAGTTTATAAAATCATAAGTAGTGCCAATCAAATCTTAATACGGTTATTTCAAATTTATTAGCAAGTATTGTCTAAACTGCTCCGACTATCTTTGATCCAAGTTGAGACAGGTCTTTGGCAGTTTTATCTCAGCTCACAGTTCTAAAGCTGTTTGCCTAAACTATAATAGAAATTAATTTGCATCAATATCAGAAAAGAACAAAAGTACACCATGCGACAAGAAAATGTTATTCAGAACAATCCATGCAGGACTGCGTAACATGCAGTATTTGTGCCCTATCTCATTGATCCCTCGGCTACAAATTTAATCTTTCAGAGGTAAATAAAACTTATCATTTTGACAAATCGTTAATAATTTCGTCTACGTTTGTATTTGCCGAGATAAGGTGTTTTCCGGTCTGACAGATCAAGTGCTAATACTTGTGTAGGCATAAAAGCTTCTTTCTACTTTCGGGCTTTGCATTGTGATAATTAATTAATTGTGATAATTGTGATATTATTAAAAGGAAATTTAATATATTTATTCATTTATACTTGTCACAGTTGAATAAACTGTCGCTCAGTGTTATATAAACTCATTATTATATTTTCATAAGCTTTTAACTTACTGATAAACTATGGAATTCAAATTTTGTACATACACTGTTTGTGGATGAAAATACAATTTGGTGACGTGATTGTTTCAAAATTCGGTTTAGATTCTTTTTTGATTTAATATTTAGGTGATTTTTTCCACATGTCTTTGTTTACCAAACAAACTTAAAATCTTAGAAAATTTACTGTTCGCATCATCGAGTACACACACACACACAAAAAAAAAAAAAAAAAAAAAAAAAAAAAGCAAATTAAAAAATAAAAATAAACAAAATCTTATTAATGAAATTTGTATCTAATTTTTTTGGTGAATTTTCTAAAATGCTTGATTTTTTGTTGACTAACTGATTGTTTTTCAAATTACAGCGCCGAAAAATATTATCTGATACAAAATTTTTAGCTTTTCACACATTATGAAACAAACTCTTTGTCAGGCTTTAAAACAAGAATGGTAAAGAGATATTAATTGGGCGATTTTCTACATTTTTCTTAGGCACTATTCTTTCCGGGAAACACCTTATCTCGGCAAATACAAAAGTAGACGAAATTATTAACCATTTGTTGGGGTAGATGCAACATAAATTACATGAATGTCAAAATGATAAGTTTTATTTACCTTTGAAAAATTAAATTTGCAGCCGAGGGATTTTTTACTTTAGGTATTATTGGTAAACAGAGGCTATGATGTCATTACATCACGTTATTCTTCATGCTTCTATAGATTTCTATAACTAGTCGCGTTTTTATAATTTTTTTAACTCGCTCATTATATTTGTCACTATTTATCATTGCTATCCACTTTTAAAACTATCGAACCCAAATTTTGCACACACACTCACTGTGGATGACAATACCACGCGATATAGACAAAATCTCTTTTTTTTTTTTTTTTACCATTTGGCGAATAGAAACGCAGGTAATTGCAACAGTTCTATAGGGGTGAGTTTTAAAGAAAGTCACTTTATAAAAACACTTTTTGTTATTTATTTTAAATATTAATTTTTAATTTGGAAATTTTATTTATGAAATGCAAATCATAATAGAGCAACATACAGATCTACACATACAGGTAATTTTAGTAAACTGTCTGAGAAAGCTTTGTAGAGACATTAGGTATTTTTGGAAGAAGGCAATATGAAAAATGATCAACGCCTTCGCCGGGAATTGAACCACGGACCTCTGGATTAAGCGCCTGGTGTGCAGACCACCGCACCACGAAGGCACGCTAAGAAGACGGGAGAAATATCTTATATCTTTAATAAAATGTACCGACCTGAATGAAATGAAAGTATTTTGAGCCACATTTATGCGCCGTAAGCTGTTACAAATGCACTTATTTCAATGTGAATGAATACTGAATTCAAACGGAAAATTATAAAGAAAAATTACAGATTTCTATGTGGAAAGAAGCTTTCTTATTTCTATAGAAACTCTGAAATTCGATGTTAAACCAGAAGTTAATGATAAATCAAAGCAAACAGGATGATATTATATTGAAAATAACTTAATAATAATATTTCATTCAGAGAACGATAAGTAATACAAACATTGCTTTGAAAATCGCAAAAAGAAGATAATCGTTGCGACAGTGTTTGTTAGTTGCGAAACTACAGACTAATTTTCACCATGAATTAGAATGAAGAGCGCTTGTAAGAAAAATTAAACAACAAACATTTTCTTCTAAATAGATTAAAAATTCATCCATTCTGACTGCTTCACTTTTCTTTGAAGTATTACTGGAGGACGTTTTAAAATATATTTTACTTAAAATCTGTAATTTGTTACTACAAATCTTACTTGAGCGCATATTTTACTAATGAATAAATGAAGCTTTGTTATACGTAAAATCATTTTTATCATAAAATATTCAAAATGAAAATTAATAATTTAAAATGCGAAATAAGATAATTGGAGTTTCATGGATGTTTAAATATAGAATATTTTTTTTCAAAAAGACGTCTAAACTTTTAAAAAAGAATAGAAGCTAAAAAAAGCGGTTCTACGCTTAGAAACGCCTTTAATAAGAAGTCTGACGAAGAAGGAGTTAGCTTTCGTGTGAGTATCTGAAGCTGTAGTTACTACAGAGTTAATACACTTTGCACAAGATGCTATTTTCGCACTTTGGGAGGGGGGAAGGGAGAGGATTTTTTAATTTTTTTATTCTCTTTTTTACCTTTAATCTGCTTTTCTTTTTATTTCACAAAACGAAAACAAAGTACTTTTTCAGAATAAAACTGACGATTAATAAGAGTTACTTAACATAGTTCATGTTCTTATTATTATTATTAAAATTTGCTGCATAAACATCAAGCCCAAAGCTTATATTCTTACACATAAAAATAATATCTATTAAGAAGGATTCTTTTATATTAACATAATATCTATTAAGAAGAATTCATTTTTATTAAAAATTCAGAGTATTTTTTTAAGTCTATAAAACTAATCTTCTGTTTTTTAGTTTTGCACAACATACAAATTATTTCTCTTTTTCTCTGATCTTCGACGCACATGTTTTCCGAAAGCGTTTAAAATAACATGATAAAAGAAAGAAAATAATTTTAATAAGTTTATAATGCAATTTTTAATAAATAACCAAATTCTGT